TTGGACCACAAAGTTCCATTCCAAGGCTGTTTTTTCAAAGGCCCATAAGAAAACAGAAAAAAAAAAAAAAAAAAAAAAACAGCCATCAAAGTTTGATATAATTCCCTAATTCCATGAACAATTTTCTTATCTTATTTTTAAGAGCTAAAAACAACATCATAACAGGCATACAATCATCTGAATTTAGGAGTTTTGGGTTGAGTAACTAATCCAGCAAAATACGCAAACAGAGATTGAAATTTTCAGAGACTAAATCGCTCAATATAAGTCAATGAAAATGCAAACAGAGATTGGAAATAACAATATTGAAGATTAAGCATTTACAGAAGAGTGAGAAATTCACCTTTGGTAGAGACAGAGTCTTCAATGGCAAAGTGAGGAGAAGGAGTGCGCGGCTGCGTGAAGGGGAGAAACAAAAGAGTGCGTCTGCTGGAAGCTACAACCTACTCCGTTCAATATGGATGATGATCTGCACGAACTGCTGATGGAGGACAAAGATGGTCAGACAGATAATCGAAGGGGGAAAAGAAAGAAAAAGAAAAGAAGAAAATAGAAAGCCACATTCGAACCTGCTTGCGTGACGACGGAGCGACGACTGAGAGAGCTTCAGCGGCGCGACGGCTGAAGAAGAACAAGGATGAGGTTTCAGTTTCACGCAGAGAGAGAGAGAGACAGAGAGAGAGAGGAAAATCGAAGAAGGAAAAGAACGGAAAAGAAACCTAAGTCTATTTTAGTTGTGGATGATCCTCTGTGTGTGTGTGTACGGTAAAATTTTAGACTCCCACTACAAAACAGCCACATGTTAACTATATATATAATATATAAAATATAAATATATAGAATATGAAAATATATATGAATGACTAGTATTATTTAGCTAGTTTGTGAATTATATACCAAGACTTATCACAAACCTTCCTTTAATTCTAAAAATCCATATTTTAAATACGTGCTCATCTTTCTGAACCTCAGTTCTCGACAATATATATATATATATAATAACGTGTATAATATGGTTTTGATATGAAAACCTCAACAAATTTTTCAAACCCTTCTGGCTACCTGTTTACTCAGTCACGCCGACGAGATAAATTAACATATTTGATAAAAACAAAAATCTGAAATTCTTCATTTTCAACCACGAATATGTGTATTAAATATGGACATGGAAAATATTATGTAGCTAGTTTGTTAATTATATACCAACAGTTATCACAAACCTTCCTTTAATTCTACAATTCCATATTTGAAATATGTGGTCATCTTTATAAACCTTAGTTCGCGACAATATATATATATATATATATAATAACATGTATAATATGTTTTTCATATGAAAACTTCAACAAATTTTTCAAACCCTGTTGGATACCTGTTTACTCAGCCACGCCGACGAGGTAAAATAACATAGGAAATGTCCAGCAATATATATAAAATAAGGATGCACATGTGATGCTGTGTGTACAGGAAGTTAACCTAATGCTCTGATACCAATTGAAACGACCTATCCTAACTTCCACTTTCAAAACTGGGGCGAACCATGTTTAAAACTGAAAAAAAAACTAGGGTTGGCCTTTATGGTTAACATTGAATTGGGTTTGGGCTTTAGGGTTCAAAGTATGGTTTATGTTTAAAATTGTATTGGATTTAGGTTCTACAGACACTAGAGCTTGGGTTTTAATATCTGTAACTGTTTCAAGTAGTATGTAACTGTTATATATAATTTTTAAAAGTAGCGATACTTTTACAAATAGTTACAATTTTGAATGTCCATTACTTAGGAAAAATATGTTTTTGATTTTTTTTTAATAAAAAAACACTGAAGGAAAAGTTTTTTGCAACAAAAAAGAAGGTTATTTGAGGGAAGTATTTGTTGTAATTTTCAAATGTTGAGATAAATTATTTTTGAAGGAGTTTATTCCGAATGGACAATTTAACCCCTAAATGTTTCTATAAAAAACCTGTCATGTCCAACCAAATTTAGAGCATATTATCATTCACACTCTAACTTATACGTTAGTATCTTACCGTCTTTGTTGTTGGGTTAAGGTTAAGTTCATCCACTTGTATCGTCATATGTTTTCATCTTATTTTTCACACGAACATAACAGGTGCATTCGTTGAGGAAAGTTTCATGTTCACCGAAAAAAGATACCCAACCAACTTACTTTTTTTTAAAGAAACGGAGTGTTTGTTCTAGTAAACGCAACGGTTGCATTCGTTCAGTAAAGCTACTCGTTCAACAAAAAATGGGGTCAACCATCTTACTTTTTCAAACAAACGCGGAGATTATTCAACGAAACGCAAGGGTTTGCTATCATTCGGAAATATTCGACGATTTGCCGAAAAATAAGGCCAACAAACTTACTTTTTAAAACCAACACCGTATTTGTTGAGAGGAACGAAAGACGTGCATTTCTAGAGAACAGTTACCCGTTCGCCTAAAATATGTGCCAACCACGTTAGTTTTTAATTCAAACGGAGTAATTTTTCACTCCAACGCAACAGTGCCGTTCATTGAACAAAAGTGTTCGGTTCGCCGAAACAATATATCCAACCAACTTCATTTTCCAAACAAACAAGACTGTTTGTTCCAGTGAACGTAATGCTTGCGTTTCCACGGTAAAGTTACCCGTTCAACACAAAATGAGCCCTACGAACTGACTTTTTCTAAACAACGGGAACATTGTTCAACCGAACGCAAAGGTTTGCTTTCGTTCAAAACCGTTTGACGTTCCGCTGAAAAAGAGGGCTAAAAAACTGACTTTTTTAAACCAACACGATATTTGTTCACACGAACGCAATGCGTGCGTTTCGGTAGAAAAGTTACCCTTTCGCCGAAACAATGCGCCAACTAACTAACTTGTCCAAACAAACGGTTACTTTTTCACTCTAACACAATACATGCGTTCGTTAAGGAACCATTTATGTTCGCCCAAAAAAGATATCCAACCAACTTACTTTTCCATACAAACGAAGTATTATTCTAGCAAACGGAAGAGTTGCGTTGGCTCAGTAAAGATACCCGTTCAACGAAAAATGGGCCCAAATAACCAACCTTTTCAAACAAACAGGACATTTGTTCAACAGAACGGAAAGGTTTAAGTTCCTTCAGAAAAATGAAACGTTCCACAGAAAAAGAAGGCCAACAAACTTACTTTTGCAAACCAACGGGATTCTTTTTCACACAAACGAAACGGGTATGTTCGTTCATTAAAGTTACTCGTTCAACGAAAAATAGGCCCAACCAACTTACTTTTTAAAACAAACGTAGTGTTTGTTCAAGTAAACATAAGAATTGCGTTTGCTCAGAAAAATGCTACGTTCCCCGGAAAAATAACGCCAACAAACTAGCTTTTTCAAACGAACGTGATTGTTGTTGATGCGAACGCAAGAGTTACGTTGATTCAGTAAAGTTGACCGTTCCCCGGAACCATGGGCCAACAAACTCAGTTTTTCTAACAAACGGGTTACTTTTTCACTCCAACGCAATACATGCGTTCGTTGAGGAACCATTTGTGTTTTCCCAAAAAAGATATCCAACCAACTTACTTTTCCATACAAACGAAGTATTGTTCTAGCAAACGGAAGAGCTGCGTTGGATCAGTAAAGCTACCCGTTCAAAAAAACAATGGGCCCAACTAACTAACCTTTTCAAACAAACAGGACATTTGTTCAACCGAACGGAAGGGTTTAGGTTCCTTCAGAAAAATTAAACGTTCCACTGAAAAAGAAGGCCAACAAACTTACTTTTGCAAACCAACGGGATTCTTTTTCACACAAACGAAACAGGTATGTTCGTTCAGTAAAGTTACTCGTTCAACGAAAAATAGGCCCAACCAACTTAATTTTTCAAACAAACGTATTGTTTGTTCAA